GGTGCTGGGGGATTGAACCGTGGTCCCTGTGCTTTGCTTAGCTTAGCTTGTTCTAAGTAGGTGCTTTAGACCACTGAGCCATCTCACCAGCCCCTCCCTAGAAAATTCTTACTGCTTTTTTTTTGCTTGAACCAGGGATTGAACTCAGGCCCTTACCTTTGCCAGGGAAGCGCTTATTCCACTGAGCCGTCTCCCCGGCCCCCTCCCTAGAAAATTAACCAGTACAGTTTTCTAGTGAAGGGGAGGGCCTGTTACCTGGTAGTGTAGTGAAAAGGGTTGGTTTTATTTCTTTTTAGGTTATATCAGTTTCTCCTACTTTTAGCCTCACATGAAACACCTCTCCTCTATATACATAGACCATTATCACTTACATATTTCTCTGCCTTGGACCTAAAGTTCCTCCAGTGTCTGGGGCTGTGTAGCAGAAGTTACATTATTTTTGGGTTATCTCACTGATCTCTTCTTTTTTTTGTGTGTGTGTGGTAGTACTAGGTATTGAACCCATGGCCTCATGCGTGGTAGGCCAGCCTGCTACCACTGAGGGCCCCCCATTTGAAATTTTTTGATGCTGGGGATTGGACCTATCCTATATTCTTATAAAGTCATTTACTGTTGTCTTTTGCTTTACTTGCATCTGAAATTCCATAGTTATTATCTTCCATTACTTTTTTGTTTTCATTTTTTCTGTTTTATGCCTTTTTTGTACTTAGGGCTGGTACAAGGCACCCCAGTGCCTTGCTAATGCTGGGCAAGTGCCTTACCATTCAGCTATATCACTAGCCTTTTTTTTCTTTGAGGTAAGATTTCGTTACATTGTCCAGACTAGCCTTAAACTTAATGATCTTTCTTCCTCAACCTTCCCAGTAGAGCTAGGATTGCAGATGTATACCCCTGTGCTCACTGTTTTATAAACTTAAAAAATAAATTTTAGGGGCTGGTGAGATGGCTCAATGGTCTAAAGCACCTACTTGGAACAAGCTTAGCAAAGCACAGGGACCGCGGTTCAATCCCCCAGCACCACATGCCAGCCAGCCCCGCCCCCACGTGGGCTGAGCTGGACACACACACACACACACACACACACACACACTAAATGTTTTAAAAAAAATTAAATTTTTTGAGATACGGTCTTGTTATATAGACCAGGCTGACCTTGAGCCTGTGTTCCTCCTTCCCTAGCTTCTAGTACTGGAATTATCTCACTGTTGCTACGTGGTGCTTTAGGAAGAAGATGTTAATGACCTGTGCTTCTGATGTTGTCTTCTCTTCCTTTTTGCAAGGTCTTGTTTTGTCATTTACTATCAATAGTTTCTTCATCTTCAGTGTGTCCTGTTCACTTGATTTTTCCCACTGGCTCTCAGATGCTTTTCAACGCATGAATTCTTTTCTTTTGCATGTTTACCCTTTTGTCTTTTTCCTTTCATTAGCAAGTTTCCTAAAAGAACAGAAGCATAGTTGATAGTTCTACTTACTCAACTGCCTTCCATCTTCTAGTCTCTTAAGGTAGTTGTGCTTAATGATTGGATGGACAGATGGCTTTGTGATGGCTTCTGTGTTTTGCCTAATGATCTCATCATGACATTGTCCATTTGGTCTTTTGGTGACCCATAAAAGATTCATGTACAAGAAGTTCTTTAATGAGTTAGCATCAGGAAAATGATCTCACTTAAGGATCCAGTGTATTTCCTTTTTATTTGTTAGATATGTGAGACATTCTATTTTCCTTTTTGCCTTGGCTGCCAGGTAGCCCAGAACTAAATCTGGTCTTTAGTTACATCAGCTGTATTAACCTCATGTTAGTATATTTGGTTTCTCTTCCTTCTTCCATTGGATTTAGGATTTCGCCTCTTATCTCTGTTTCTCTGCATGTTGATTTCATTCTCTCATACTACAGACTACTACATGAGGCTGGAACCATGACTGCTGGCAGCTTTTGGCTTTCATCTTCCCTGCCCCTTCTACCAGGAGAAGGGGCTCTCTGGAAGAATCCTGAGAAGGACTCAGATTGACCTGTCCTGGATCATGTTCCCACCACGCTCTGGCTGGAGTGGGGAGGGTACTATGCTGGCAGACCTCACTAGACCTCATAGTTGGAGTCAGGGGTAAGAGCAGTTTCCCTCATGCCAGGGGGGTGGGTGTGATGCTTACGATACAGTTAAATAACCCATGTCCATCCTTTTAGTACTGGTTTTTGTATTTTTATTGTTATACTATAGATGCTTTATTGAGGACTGCCTTGAAACCTTTCCTAAATATTTTAAGCATAGTAACAAAATAATATACATTTCTATTCACCCTTCACAGTATTTGGTTCTGCACCTAACGCTACATCATGTTACTTTTGCTAACATCAAAAGGACATTTTTATTTTTAAAGTTTTGATTTTAGAGTGAGCTATTTTGAGCATTAAAAACCATCTGCCACAAATGACCCTTAAGCCTTCTCTCTGCAGCTTTCTTCTCCTGACTTTGCAAAGCTCAGTTCTTTCCTGTCTGCCAGCATTGCTTTTTGGATTGCTTTTAGTCATTGCTGTCTTTTTCTTTTTTGGGGGGTGGGGCAGGGGTATTGGGAATGTAATTTAGGACCTCATGCTTGCCTGGAAGGCGCTGTGCTGCTGGCCAGCAGTCTCTAAAATTGAAGTTCCAGGGTTGCTTTTCTGGTCTGTTTATTTGATGTTAATTTATGTGTTTGTAGTGCCTCCAGGAAGGGGTATCCTCATTTTAACCTTTGTTTTTGATTTTTCTATCCAAGTATTCAGTTGCCTACTGCTTATCTCTACTTAGCTGTCCTACCTAACATCTTTTATTTGTACTTTTTTTTTGTGGTACTGGAGTAGATCAAACTTGGGACCTTGTACTTACAAGGCAGGTGCTTATATTTTCCTGGCCCACCTATCATCTTTTAAAACTACTTTTTTGGTACTGGGAATCGAACTCAGGACTGCAGTTTGCCAGGCAGGTGCTGTGCACCACTTAACTATATCCCCGGCCTCTCATCTTCACAAACATTCGTTTGTTCATTCATTCATTCATTCATTCATTCATTCATTCATTTTTTTTGGAGTTATCATAGTAGCTTAAATTACTTAGTTTTATGAAGGTGATACAATGACATAGGTCAAAAAAAGTAAAGCCTTGGGCCAGGGAGATGGCTCAGTGGAATTAGCGCTTCCCTGACAAGTGCAAGATCCTGAGTTCAATCCCTGGTTCCTCAAAAAAAAAAAAAAAAAAAAAAAAAAAAAAAAGCCTTTATTTATTTATTTTTGGCAGAACCAGAGGTTGAACTCAGGCCCTTTGCGCTTGCCAGGCAAGTGCTTATTCCACTGAGCTATCTCCCCGACCCCTTTCAAAAAAATGTAAATAGGCAACTAATAAAATTTCGTTTTCCTAAGGGCTGAGATTATAGCTCATTGGTAAAGTGCATACTGCCCTAGGTTCAAATCAGCTCTCAGCACCACAAAACAACGGAAAATTATTTTAAACTTAACTGGTCTCTTTATTTTTCCAGTTTTGCTTCCCAATTTTCTTTTCATACTGGGTGTTTTTTTGTTGTTTGTTTACTTTAATTTTTTTGGTACCAGGAATCAAATTCAGGACCTTGTATTTACTTGCCAGGCAAATAGTGTGCTGCTGAACTATATCCTTGAAACTCCCTTTTTTTGTTAGGGTCTCACTATTTAGCTCAGACTGGCCTTGAACTGTCAGTGTTCCTCCTATTTCAGTATCATGAGTGCTGAGATTATGGGTACTATTTTTTTTCCTAGTTTCTTTATTTTGTGGTACTAGGGATTGAACCCAGAACGTTTTTTTTTTTTTTTTTTTTT